GTGTGTGTGTGTTGAGAACAAGGAAGGAGGGGACCTCTTATTTTCCAACTGTTGTGAAAATGAACGGATAATGACCTGGTCCGTGGGGTTGTGGGAGGAGTGGAAGGACAGAGAAGGAGCCCAGGCCCAGGTGGCTTAGTGGTAAGACACAGAGGTGCAGTCCCTGACCTAAAATAAAAACAGCTCTTGGGAACCACATACCTTCTGCCTGGCTGTCAAGCAAGTGGAAAGCTCTTGGGGGGCGGGGGGTTCCCACAGATGCTGTGACATTTTACAGAGGGGGAAACTGAGTCCTTGTGGGAGCAATAGTTATTGAATCACTACTGTGAGCTTGGCACAGTGAAGATGGCCTCCCATTAATGATCCCCCGCGACCTCCCAGTAACTCGGTGACACAGGTGCTACCCCCATGCCATGGTTGAGGACACTGAGGGTCAGAGACAGTGACTTACTCGAATTGCTCAGGGCCCTGAGGGCCGACTTGGCACTGGGTCTGCTTCCCAACTCGGGTTCTGTGCAAAACCAAAACAACAAAAATCATTTTATCTCGGACAATTTTCTTTTCTTTTCTTTTCTCTTCTTTTTTTTTAAAACGGAGTTGCCAGTCAAAGGAGATGTGTATTTTTTAAATATATTTTATTGACTTTTTTACAGAGAGGAAGGGAGAGGGATAGAGAGTTAGAAACATCAATGAGAGAGAAACACCGATCAGCTGCCTCCTGCACACCCCCTACTGGGGATGTGCCCGCAACCAAGGTACATGCCCTTGACCGGAATCAAACCTGGGACCCTTCAGTCCGCAGGCTGGCGCTCTACCCACCAAGCCAAACCAGTTAGGGCAGAATATTTCTTAATTTGACTTTTAAACCAGAATAGTTTGAGTATTATAATTCATATTACTTGGGTACTATCTTGACATCCAGAAAATAAAGAAACCTCCTCCAGCCCCCAGATTTCTTCTCCTATGTGAAGCGCAGCAGCTTTGTGGGTGAGGCAGGGTTATGGTGGGAGGTAGATACTGCTTCAGGCAAAGCTAGGCTATGGAAGGTCTCCAGGTGACGTGACCAGATACTTGGGGTTTCTGCCTCTCCCTCCTAGCACCAGCGTTCAGTTCAGTTGTTTGCTCATAACACATATGACTCCTTTCCTGTCAGTATCTGGCAAGAAACTTTCTGAAATTGATTGAGAAGGAGAAACGACCGGGTTGTATCAGGGAAAATGTAAAATCCATGGCCACTGAGAAGCTGCACTGGGTGGAGGGGAGGGTTGGGAAGAAGAGGACACAGTGCTGTCCCCTGGAGAGTAGGTCCTGGGTGAAGCAGGTGTTCAGTGGCTGAATGATGGGCTCCACCCGTGTGTCTGGGTGTCTTCAGAGGATTCCAGGCAAGATACGGCTCAGGCACAATTCCAAGGCAACAACTTGTAGGACGAGTTTTGAGCAAAATAACCTAACTTGTTTGGGTTTTGTTCTAACTCATTAACACCCCTTCTGTTATCCTCCCCAGCAACCAGAGCCCACCCTCATGTGCCATCTGGCCATGCCTTCTCTCGCTGACCCTCCTGTCCCCTCCCCAGGCACCCAAGCCCATCCTCAAAGACAATGGCGTGTGCTGGGAATGTAGGCTACCCATTCTGCTCTCTGCCTGGTTGCTCTCCAGTTTCCACTGACACTTATTGTGCCTAATAGTTGCCAGGAAAGTAACCTGGTTTCCAACGATGACTTCACGTAAGCCATTTACATGATAAAAATGGTGCTGGTAGATCTGAAAGGCCAGGGGCATTACAATGAATTTTACCAAAGATACTCTACCAGGGGTGAGCAAACTTTTTGACTCGAGGGCCACAATGGGTTCTTAAACTGGACCGGAGGGCCGGAACAAAAGCATGGATGGAGTGTTTGTGTGAACTAATATAAATTCAAAGTAAACATCATTACATAAAAGGGTACGGGCTTTTTTTTTTTTAGTTTTATTCATTTCAAACGGGCCGGATCCGGCCCTCGGGCCGTAGTTTGCCCACGGCTGCTCTAGACCATTATTTGTAGTTACTCTTACTATATTTATCTTAAGTAGATCTGAAGACAAAATCAAATTTTATTATCCAAGTGGCACAGGTTTATAAAGCCTGAAGCATTGTGTGGTACCTCAACACAGCTTGGAGAACTAATTACAGTAGGTGTCTGCTTGGTAAACAGCTGAATTTGAGAAGCTATGGCAGAATAGCAGAGACTTGCTGCAAACCGGCAAGTCCCATGAGGAGAATCGTATGGAGAATCAGACAGATAGGACAGTATTCGTTTGGTTGGAAATATCCCGTCATGCACGCAGCTCATTTGAAGCATGCTAAATCAGTAGAGGTTTCTCCTCAAACTCAGGCAAAGATCTAGGAGACTGAGGATGAAGGTCAGATCTCACTGGTCAAAGTAGATTAAGTGGATTGAGGAACATTTCTTTTTTTGTAAATGAGCTTAATACAAGGAACTTCTGAGAAAAGTCACTGTCAGGATTGGGTTGGCTGTCCCTTCTAAGTTGCTCTGCCCTGGGTGTCTGTGGGGTGAAGTGAACGCGGTCACCTTCCACCTGCCCTCGGTGTCTTCACAAATGGTGACAAGCTTCCCTGGCCATCTCAGGGTGCACCCCCATCTGTTACTCTGGCTGCACATTGGAAAGAACTCCCATGTCAGGGCCGAGAAATTGCTGTCCTTTTTCTCCCTTTGTCATTATGATCTGGAGAGACAGTGGGAACCTGGTGCAGGAGGGGCCCTGACCTGACTCAGCCTGTGCTTTTGAACTTTACACCCCACAGTTGTGTAGCGGCAGTGGTCACATTTCCAATCTCAATTGAAAAAAGAGAATTTTGCAGCCAATGAAATGGCCACCCTCTGTTTCTGAAGGGCAAGGAGCTTAACATGCAAAAGGAAATAGAGAAGTAAGAACACCGCCAATACTTTTTCATGATGGAGTCAGTGGTGAGATGATTATGAAAGCATTGAGGAACATGTGGAGCCTGGTTTTAATCCTCAGAAACACAAGTGTTAAATAGAGGCCGCCCAGTCAGTCAACAAGCCTAATCCTCTATTATTTGATGGTGAATAACTGGAAAAGTGCTCTAATCAACATGATCTATGAAACTGGATTAATCAATGTTTATCTTGTCTAGCCATTTGTTAAAGGGGCCTCCATAAACTTCTTTGCTCATTGGGTAGCCTGAGAATTTAGACTAAAGAAATAGTTATAATCTATGGGTTAGCTTTAAATAATCACCTTTTAGAAAATGCATCCTTTGAATAAGTAGAGAATCTAAGAATAGGTTAATAAAGTGTATGCCCTAACCAGAATCTCAAGGCTTTTTTCTGGAAAATTAAAATTAACGACCCCAGTCATGAACCACAGCGAAGGACATGGTGGGTGTGGGGCCGAATTCTCAGAGCTGTAACTTGTATCCTTGCAATTGTTCCATGATTCAGAAATACACTTTCCACATACTCAAATTTGTTCACTTGTTGCTTGTCTTAATTGAAATTTCATTTGCCAGTGAGCATACTGATGGAGGTGTTTTAAAAGCGGCTTATTTATGGAAGTTGTTGGCACCACTGGAATTGCAAACGATGCCAACCAAACGCCATTTCAAATAAAAATCATTTTTCTTTTGGCAGCAGGAAAGTTCCGAGTCGCACAGTAGCTCTTGATTTATGAGCTGTGCTCTGTGATTCTCAGACTCCCACGATCCGTGCAGGTCCCTTTAAGGAACTGGGTTGGAAGCGTTCAATAGGAAAACAACCCTATCTCCAAATCTGCTTCTAACTGGGCAGACATACGAGTCTTTGATTATCATTGGCCCCTTCTCCCACCTCGAATGATCAGGTGAGAGAGTGGAGACTGAGGACCCCTGGGCAGCCATCTTTTAATGAGAAGTCGGGCTGGACCCTACAAGGAACAATATATGTTGGGGACAAAATTTGCAGAAATATCTTCCATTCAGCATGCCAGTAAGCGTTTTCTCAGCCCTGGGTCACATCCTGAAATTATACAATGACCTCCCCAAAACACGATTGAGGGCTACTCAAAACAGGCGGGTCGGTGAAGTGATCAGCGGCGGGTGGATGGGCGGACAGAGAGACACTCCTCCATGCCTTGCGGGATTTTTTGGCCGAGTGTCCATCCCCACAGTGGTCCATCGAACAAAGTGTTTATTGTAAAGTGGGCCTGATCCCTGGAGAGGAGGAAAAATGATTCCTTGTGACTGGAGAGAAATTAACTCTTTCCTCGCTTTGGCAGCTGGGAGGTGCGGACAAATCCTTAGTGATCCGTTTGCTCGGTTGGGTTCAGTGGTGGGGGTGGGGGGGTCTCCATGGCAGGAATAGTAATGACTCCGGCTGCATCTCTCAGTGCAGAGAGTGGCAGGGTCCTCGCAAGCGCCCCCTCCTTCTGACGCTCCCTCCCCGGCCCAGCACAGGTAGACTGAGTGGAAAACACACTCCAGTAAGGTGGGCTGCTGGGGCGTCTTCATTTCTTCCAGAAGTAACTACAGGCCGTTCAACACTGGATTTCTAAAACTTGCTCTCAGGAAAACCTTTGGCCTAGACCGTGAATGCTAACAGCGATAGGAACTGTATGTTCTGTATGGATGTGTGTTTTTTTAAAGACTGGATTTGGAGGGACGGAGATGGTTTTGCCTGGGGATGACTGTGAGAGCCTCCAGGACCAAGGAGGGAGGGAGGGAGGGAGGGAGGGAGGGAGGGAGGGAGGGAGGGGTGTGAGTGTGCTCCCTTTAAGAGGGAAATAAAATGAGCAACTTTGGCAAATTTTTGGGCTTCTATTCAGAGAGAAAGAGAAGAGCTTTCAGTGCCAAAAAAGAAGAGAGAGAAAAAAAAGGATGGGTGTTAGGAGACAAAGGCACAGCAATTTTATACCTTTTGGAAGCCGGACTGGGAGGGTTGTGACTCCGCTGGGGTTAAGAAAGATTTTTTTCCCTCTCAAGAGTAAAGGTAGAAGTAGGGTAAAGGAGTTGAATCTGAACTACTGTTCCAGTCAGCTCTGTGCTGTCCTGTCCGGGAGGACACCAGGAAGAGGAGCGGCCTGGAAGAGAGGAAGCAGCAGGAGCCCAAGGTGAGGGACTATATCATAGCCACCCGCATGTAAGTTACATTATAACACTAAGTTGGGAACTCTAATTGCTTTCTTCTAAGGAAAACCACCTGATTTGAACAGCTAGAAAGCTCCTAAGACTACTAGATAAATATCTGAGCCTTTAATATAGTCTGCCTTTTTGCATTATCGATTGTTTTGTTTTCTAAATGCCTTCATGCCAAAGGAGGCTATAAAAATGAGACAATGTTTTTTACATTGGTTCAGAAAAAGTATTGAGGCTTCCTTTGGGATAATCATAGTGTTTATGCATTTATAAAAATGTTATTTTCTCTAATTCCTATCTTGTTCCTACAATGGCTGAGTTGAATCCTACTAGTAAACTCAAATGAGTAATCCATACTGAGCATTTCTGGTGTTCAAACCAAGTCTTAGCTATCTGGTTTGGCGTAGCTTTGCTTCACATTTGGCAAGTTACTGTAAAGATAGAAATTAAAGCTAAAGTGAGTATCTTTTTTGTTGCAGGTTTTAACTGGAAGCCCAAACCAACAGAAAGCAACTGGCCTTGAACTATTTCTGCTACAAAATTCACCTGGATGCCCGCAGGCTGTCAGCAAGAATGAGCTACTACGGCAGCAGCTACCCGATCGTGAATGTGGACCCCAAGTACCCAGGTTACCCCCCGGAGCACATCATCGCGGAGAAGAGGCGGGCCCGCCGGCGGCTGCTGCACAAAGACGGCAGCTGCAACGTGTACTTCAAGCACATCTTCGGGGAGTGGGGGAGCTACGTGGTGGACATCTTCACCACCCTGGTCGACACCAAGTGGCGCCACATGTTCGTCATCTTCTCCTTGTCTTACATCCTCTCCTGGCTGATCTTTGGCTCCATCTTTTGGCTGATCGCCTTTCACCACGGAGACCTGTTGAATAACCCAGACATCACGCCCTGTGTTGACAACGTCCATTCTTTCACAGGTGCCTTTTTATTCTCCCTGGAGACCCAGACCACCATCGGCTACGGCTACCGCTGTGTCACCGAGGAGTGCTCGGTGGCCGTGCTCACCGTCATCCTCCAGTCCATCCTCAGCTGCATCATCAATACCTTCATCATCGGAGCGGCCTTGGCCAAGATGGCAACGGCCCGGAAGAGAGCCCAAACCATCCGCTTCAGCTACTTCGCCCTCATCGGCATGAGAGATGGGAAACTCTGCCTCATGTGGCGGATCGGGGACTTCCGGCCCAACCACGTGGTGGAAGGCACGGTGCGGGCCCAGCTGCTCCGCTACACAGAAGACAGCGAGGGCCGCATGACAATGGCCTTCAAAGACCTCAAGTTGGTCAATGACCAGATTATCCTCGTCACGCCGGTCACCATTGTTCATGAAATCGACCATGAGAGCCCTCTGTACTCCCTGGACCGGAAGGCAGTGACCAAGGACAACTTTGAGATTTTGGTGACATTCATCTACACAGGCGATTCCACAGGGACCTCCCACCAATCCCGAAGTTCCTACATCCCCCGGGAGATTCTCTGGGGTCACAGGTTCAACGATGTCTTGGAGGTGAAGAGAAAGTACTACAAAGTGAACTGCTTGCAGTTCGAGGGGAGCGTGGAGGTCTACGCCCCCTTCTGCAGTGCCAAACAACTGGACTGGAAGGACCAGCAGCTCCACAACATGGAAAAGGCCTCCGGAGGCCGAGGATCCGGCCTGTCGGACACCAAGGTCAGGAGAAGGTCATTTAGTGCCGTCGCCATTGTCAGTAGCTGCGAAAGCCCCGAGGAGACCCCCAGCTCTGCCCTGGATGAGTGTAAGGAAGCCCCTTACCAGAAAGCTCTCCTGACTTTAAACAGAATCTCCGTGGAATCCCAAATGTAGTCCCACATCGTAATTCCACTCCATCCTTTTGCTCTCTAGCCAATCACCTTAAGGCAAGTAGTTATAAAACAGGGCTTTACAAGAACATTATAGCTGTGTTTCATGCTGATTATAAGAGCAGGTTAAACTTGATGAAAGATAATAAAAATTATGTAGTATCCAATCAATTTTCTTTTGCTAGCACATTTTGTATTAGGGATGCTACTACGCGTCAATTGATTAATGTAAGTTTCATCTCCTTTTATGATTCCATATACTTGCATCTTCAATTGGAGGTATAATATTCCATTGGGGGAGAAAGGTGAAAGGTAAGGATACTGGAATAAATAAAAATAGAATAGGCAACCAGTATCAATAATAATAATATTTCATATATCATAATTCATAGTGTGAAGACATCGTATCATCTAACCAAGACCCATGCAAGGCACGCATTTAGTAGATTGTCATGTTGAGATATTTAACTGTGGCATCAGCTTTCCCGATGGAGTCCCTCTGTTTGCCCCCCAGTGTGTCTTGGCATCCACAGGAGGAGGTAGCGGCTGTGAGGAATAGGCAGTGCCACCAACTCAGACATTTCTCCACAGCCACTTGCCCAGGTAATGTCCAGTGAGTGCCGGGCTGTTTTTCCTCCAACCATGAGGCAGAAGTCAATGGCGTTATTCAGAGCAGTATTTCTCCCTCAAATGCCCCGCTTGACTCCAGCCAGGAAGGGCAGAGATAAGGAAGCGCTTTCTGACAAGGGGGCTTTCTCCTACCTTCTCCAAGGACTAGGGAGGGAGCAGGCTCACAGAGAGAGGGTGAGGGCCTGGACTGCGAGGAACATTCTCAGGCTCTGGGAGAAAACCTGTTCAGCAGCGCCCTGAAGGACTGCAGCTTTCCTGGGGCGGGGGGTGGGGGGGTTGTGGGGGGAGATGGGGTAAGGTATTTATTTGTACCAGGAAGCAGTTATGTATGCTGCCTGTCTTGGTCACTTGACAAAACTTGAACTTCGGATTTTGAGAAATTTTTCCATCAAATTTAGAAGAATCATTTAAATGGAAGATTTTTGTGAAACGTAATTAAAGTGATTTAATGCACATTTTAAAATGGAGAAGCTGAGGGCTGTCCCATAGCTTACACTTGAGGACATGAGCTATGTCTGGATACTCTATTTCCATAATTACTTTAAACACAAATTCAATCACTACGATGAAGAATCACTTTGCTCCATAAACTGAAGAGTTATTAGCTACGTTCAGAATTATCTGCATGTTTTCTTAACATGATTTCCGAGTGGGCTATCAGTATATGCCACAGTTTTTTATTGGTTTATTTTATTTAAATATAAATATACACGCACATAGTTTTGACTTTTTCTGGGGACTCTCCTTCTCTCAGTCTCCCTCTATTTAAATTAAAGCACACAAGTAACTTGATCTGAATCACATACTCCAAGATGACCAATCAAAGTAAAATACATAGGTTTATAAAATGGTGTTCTTTTTTTTTTCCTTTTTGCCTTTTTCCTTTCTCCTTTCTCCTCCCCTTCCCTCCCTTCCTTTTTTCCTTTCCCTCTTTCTTTTGCCTGTGAGCAACAAATTTATCTTTTTAACTGAACATGTGCACATCTCTTATTCCTGTTTTATGGATAAGAGAGTTGTTGGGGTCACGAGTTGCAAGCTTAGCATTGGTGATACGCGCTTTCTGCCTGGCCCCAGGAACGCAGGCGCGTTTTCCCTCGCACGGGCGTCTCGATTTGGGTTTTGCAGCTGTGATCTAGTTTCCTTTCACTTTCCTTTGCTTCCTGGACCCCATCGACCCACGACCTCACTTTGTGAGGATCAGAATGGAGACATCAGCGCTCAATACGTACACTCACTTGTCAAATTCTCTTACCCAGAACAGAATGTAAGCTAGGCATTCCCCTGTAATATTTATCTCTGATTTTCTGTTGAAATGTATCACATGCTTCGACACCCTGATGAGTTACTCAGCAATAAAGATCTCAAAACGCAGAAAGTGTGCGCCCCTGCCTGTGTTCGGGTGGCATAGACCCTGCCGCTGTGTCCGCCTTGGTGCAGCACCCACAGTGGCACTGTTGTCACGTAGGATGAGAAAGCCTGCAATTACCAACCATCTCTCTGGGGTTGGACCAGCTGGTGCAATAGCTACATCCGCATTACAATTAGGTGCTTCTGTCAGCATTGCAAGAAGGCTCCCTGCAAAGTGGCATTTCTCTGCATTGTCATGATTTATACTAGTACTACAGACTCGTAAATTGTGGTTGTGCTTCATCGCCTAAGAAAACTCCCCCAATACAGTGATGCTCACAGAAGCTTAAAAAAAAGGGCATTTCTAGCTTCAGATCCTGAGTCAAGGATGAGAAGGAGGTCAAATGTGTTTTCTTCCTTTCTCCCTCAAGATGAAATCACTCAGTGAACTTAGGGGGGCCACCAGCTGGGACATCAGGGCACGGCCCCACCTTGTACAGGTCCCCACTGAGCAAGCAAGCGAGGGAGGGCACGGCCCCACCTTGTACAGGTCCCCACTGAGCAAGCAAGCGAGGGAGCACAGGGAGGGAGGAGGGAGCATAGGGAGGGAGCTGGCGGACTTCCAGCTCAGCAAGCTCTGGGAGGTGCTTGGCACATACACACCTAATCCCCATGACCGAAAGGCGGGTGGATCGTTTAAATGTCCAGGTCATCAAATATCTCATTCTTGATTCTTTCTAACAACGTCCCAATGGGGACCACAATGTGTCCAGGTTTAAAAAAAAAAAAGTGATGTTCTCCAGTCTCCCTTGCAGTTGGGGGGGCTGGGGGAGGGGCTGGTGCTGATGTGGGGGGTTTCTGGCCCAGGAGATGTCAGCAGAACTCCGGATGTGACCTTCCAGAAAAGCTGGCTTAGCGGGCACGTGCCCTCTACCCGCTGCGTGCCTCCTTCCGAACCTCACACGTGGTAGTTGAAGCTCCTGCCACCCTCTTGTGAGAATGAGAATGAAGAACACGCCTTCCAGGGGACACTGAGGAAGGAGGAAGGGGAGCAGCCCAGTTGCATATTCCCCCTGCACGCGTGAGAGGGAGTATGACTATCCACTGGCACGGCGAGCCGCTGGTCTAAAGGCAGTTACGCAGGGAACAGAGGCTGGTGAGGAAAAGATGACGGACATGTTGTCTGCGGAAGCCACTTCTTTTCTGGGCAGTTTAGGAAACACCACTGTTGTAAAACAAACACAAAAGAGAGTATTGGCTGGGAACTCCCTCCGAGACACTGATGGCTGAGTGACTTCCATCAAAGGCCTGACCAGGCCTGCTGCCCTTTATTCCCCCAACCCCCCCTCCCCCCGTGCTCTTCTCCCCCCAGTGATATTCCGTGTCTTCCTGGGACGGACTGGGGCCAAGGATCTGAAATCCACGGAGACTCAGGCTCAAAAGCAGAACTGTGCTGGGACTGTGTCTCCTGTGTCTCCTACCCCCTAGGGCAGCCGTGTGCAAACTACGGCCCGTGGGCCGGATCCGGCCCGTTTGAAATGAATAAAACTTAAAAAAAAAGACCGTACCCTTTTATGTAATGATGTTTACTTTGAATTTATATTAGTTCACACAAACACTCCATCCATGCTTTTGTTCCGGCCCTCCGGTCCAGTTTAAGAACCCATTGTGGCCCTCGAGTCAAAAAGTTTGCCCACCCCTGCCCTATGGAGACCCATCGCGTCACCGTATTCAGTTGTACAAATACATACCAAGGAACCTAGGCCTGCCCTTGAAATGCTTGTCTTTCATTTCTTCTGAGTTGGCCAGGGTTTGTGCACAGTGGACTCCCTGGGCCGCGCCTATTTGAAAGATTGGGCACGAAGTCCACCCAGCGTAAAAGATGCTCTTAGCTCTCTCCACTCTGAGCATGGATTCTTCTGCTCTCTGTGTTCTGCAAGGCGTGTGTACCAGACCCTGTGTGTGTATGTATTTTATATAAGCTTTGCCTTTGGGCTTCTAGAAACCGCCCGTGCACACCCTCGCTCCTCTATAAATCACAGGCCCTGCCTCAGTGCTAAATTTGGTGCGGCCTCTTTCTCCCTTTCACTTTTAAAAGAGCAGCATGACCCATTTGCCAGAGAAAATAACTTTGCCTTGCCCTACCCCCCACCCCCGAAATGCCCGTGGGGATCTCTCTCTCTCTCTCTCTCTCTCTCTCTCTCTCACACACACACACACACACACACACACACACACACACACACGGAGCAGCAGGGAGGCGCTTGCCAAATTCTCTGCAAAGGGTCTCCTGGACTTGAGGCCTTTGAAAACGAAAGCTTGTCCTAGGGACTCAGTTCAGATCAATCTGTGGCCGGAGGGCAAGCAGGGTCTCCGACCCCCTCTTCCTGAAGAGACAAAAATCACAGCGTTGCCAGGAAACCACCCTTGGCCTGCGTGGCTTTGCAGCTTCTCTCCGGGAAGAAGACGTTATGTCCGAGTGAATTCCCACGTTCTTGCGCGGCGCCGTGTCCCAAAGCCACTCCGTGCAGCCCTCTGGCAGCGCTGCGGTCAGGTCCTGAGATCCGGCTGGGGACAGCTGGCATCTTGCCCCGTCACGTCACCCCGCACCGCGCTCCTTCCCGGGGAATGTTGGGCATCTTTTGTGTTGAGTTTGGAGACTTAATCTCAACATGGCTACATGTTTCCAAGTTCAATAGACTTCGTTGCTGAGTCCCTAGCAGGGAAAATAGACAAATAAATCAGTGATGGCCTCTTACTATTGGGTCTCATTGATTTATGCTGTTTTATAAATGCTGGATCTCAAGTCTGTCGTCCCACGAAAAAGCAGCTGGGCTGAGACTGAGGGGATTCTAAATAAATAAGGAAACCCGAGCTGGGCAATCGCCGAGGTCGGGGCGTCCCTGGAAACTTGGGCGCCTGTGCGGGCGGCAGGGGAACAGGTTAGTCATTGAGAGCTTTCAGCGCGCCCGGGGGATGAAAACCCAAACAGCTAGATTGGGTCTTGCTAAATTACATAGCCCCAGCATGCTTTTTCTCTGTGCTATCATTTACCACGGGGGCTATCGACCAGCCTTAATCACTATCTAAGTAACTTGAACTTGAGACAGAACGAGCCTCCAGAGGCTCAGACCTTGAGAAAACTTCTTTGCAGAAAGTTACCAGAAACCTTCCAACGTCCACATAAAATGCTTGGGTCACGCGCCCTGTGCACTGTGGGTAAAGACTCTTTATTTGAATTAGAAGCACATGTTTCAGAGCAATTATTTTTTGTGCTACCTGTTGATTTTATCGGATACCAGTTTGCCTGGGGGAGGGGGGTGGGGGAGGGGATGGAGACTAGCCCTGGGGACCAGGGTAAGGAAAGAGCTAGCCCATTCCAGAACCAAAGATGATTATGTCTTCAAACATTAAGTCATGTAGCCAGATTTCATTTTACATATGCGGACCCCTCCAACGTAGAGGAGTTAGGTGCCCACAGGGACACAGCTGTGGAGGGATAGCCTAGAGCCCAGGACCTGGAACCACCACTGACCATAAGGTTGAGATGTTTTCATGCTGCAGTCACTCATTGGGAAAAGTGATCACTCCAAGACCCGCTATGAAATAAAAGCCTGTTGTTTTGTAAACGTGCTTTCTGAGCTGAACTGTTAATTTGTCATTATTTAGAGAGGCTGGTGTGCGGGCAAGGAAAAGTAAATGTGGAATGAGCTGTTAAGAGCAATGACCAGTGAGGAGCATCTCATCCAAAATGTGAACAAAAATGATTGAATTCAAAAGAAAAGGCTTCCCGCCCTAACTGGTTTGGCTCAGTGGATAGAGCGTCAGCCTGCGGACTGAAAGGTCCCTGGTTCGATTCCGGTCAAGGGCATGTACCTGGGTTGCAGGCACATCCCCAGTAGGGG